TTTTTTTATACAATAAAGAAGGATAAGCTTAAGATATTTCCAGGTAAATGGATGCACTGAGACCATACGCCTAACTGAAATAAATTGGACACGCACGTGTAAATACGAATTGTTTCTCTGGTGTGAGAAACCGCAGGTGTAAAAAGGACCAAAGTGTGTAATAGGAAACAGGAAGAAAATGTTCAAATAGGATGGGGAGCAAGAGGGGGAGGAAAATAGAAAAATTAAAAAAAAAAAACGAAAAAGAAGGCAAACACTGAACAAAGCTTTAGTAAATGGGGAGGGTCCTAGGGAGGGTAGGGGAAAGGGAAGAAATGAGTGATGCAAACACGTGCAGTCTCTATGACGAATGTGATCACTATGTGTATCTAAAATGTACCAATAAAATCTGACTTTAAAAAGAGATGGGGGAGGGGCTGGGGAATTAGCTCAGCGGCACAGCGCCTGCCTGGCAAGCAGAAGGTCATGAGTTCGATTCCAGGTACCGGAAAAAAAAAAAAAACAACAAACAAACAAACAAACAAACAAAGATGGGGGGAAGGGAGGGGGAGAGAGGGGAAGGAGATGAAAAAAATACGTTCACAGTCCAATTCTCCACAAGGAATGTAATTGTTATTATTGCAAAGGTGTACTAAAAATGATCTCTCGCTACCTCCTTTTTATCAAATTGTCAAAGATAAATTATTTTTGGATTCCAGAATAAGGGAAGTCAGTCTCATATTGTAGCAGCGTGAGTATCAATGTGCACAAACTCTCAGGAGGCTGACGCAGGAGGACTGTTGTGAGTTCCAGGCCAGCCTGGGCTACATAGTGCACAGTGAGAAAAAAAAAGTGCACAAGCTAGAGACAATCAGGTAGTATGCACCCAAAGGCTAAAGTCCCTCCCACGTCCTGAAATCGGGACTTGAACTGGGTAAGGTATATATATATATTTTTTATCTTTTTGAGACAGGGTCTCACCATGCAGTTCAGGCCGGCCTTGAGCTCACTTGGTAGCCTAGGCTGGCCTCGATCTCACAACGATCCTCCTGCCTCGGCCTCCCGAGTGCTGCGATTACAGCCGTGCGCCACCACGCCCGGCGCTATGAAGGTATTCTTGTTAAGCCTGTTAGTGGACGCAATACTGTGGTAGCACAGAAGCACTCTCAGGGTCACCGCAGCACCGAGGGGTGGAAAGGACGCGATACCTAGGTAAGACTCTGAAGCGGACACGCCACAACACTGGCAGACCGGATACTGCGCCCATCACGGCTCTCCGCGCCCTCTCGGGTTTTTGTCTGCTGCACGGGCGCCTGCGCCACAGCCGCCGCGCACGGCTGCCCCAAGGCCTCTGCGTAACTGGATTTGTTTTGTTTCGAAACAGGGTCTCGCGAATCTCCCAGGCTGCGCAGGAACTTCCGATCCGCCTGCTCCGCGTCCCGGACGCTGCGCCACCACGCCCGGCCGACAGGACAGCCCTTCGCACGCCGGGTGAGGACGTGGCCCGCCCCGCTGCACGGCGAGACTGGGCGGGCTCGGCGCCCGTCTCACGCGCAAAACCCGCCCAGCTGCGCACAGCCCGGCGGCCGAGCCACGCAG